GCTCCTCAAAAGGCTGGACGCTCTGCTCCTCGTCCTCCTGCAGACGGGATGATCTGGACTCAGCTCCATTTATTCTTCTCTCTCTTCGCTGTTCTGGTTTTTAAACGTCTTCTACTAAAACCAGTTCTGTTTCTTTGTATACTACAAAAGAAACACAAACATCTGCTGAGCTGTTGATGCAGCTCTTTAAATAATAACATCCAGACTCAAGAAGAGGGGATACTCTTAATCCCCCCCAAAAAAAACATTTCTAAGTGTCCCGTCCAGCAGAGGATAAACGGCCTCTGTTATAAACAGTGACATGTAACACTCCTCTTGCATATTTAGAGTGTACAAGCCAATTAGGGAAAGAAAGTATCCTACTGAATATTATCAATCAATCAATAGTGTGAATCAGACAGGATTTAGAAGTGGAGAGACAGAAAACTAAGTGTGTATACTCCATGTTCCTGCGTAACCTCTGCCCTGCACCGCTGATAACATCCCACTGACACGTCTTACTCTCTTACATATACTTTAAAGTTTCCTTTATGGGAGTTGAAGCCACTTTTCCTCATTATTATACAACAATCACTTGACATTTCTCTCACATGCATGTGGAGATTTCTCCAACCTGTCGTAATGTTTGTTCAGTCACATGCAGGCCGTAATAATTAACGATATTTGGACCTCCGGACGGGCTAGACCTCCTCGTGGAGACTTGTGAAGGGTAGGTATAAGGTAACATTTGAGGTAACTTTGGCATGGACTTTACTGCGTCCTCCTTCTCCCATTCCCCGTCCATGTCACCCTCCTCCTCCTCCTCCTCCTCTTCCTCCTCCTCGTCTACCTCCTCCTCCTTTCTGACTGAAATTCTTATCTCATGTTTATAAGATTTGCTTGTGTGCAGATATGAGGTTTCCTTGTGAAAATCAGGATTATAATGTGTTGTGGCTGAACCGGAGACAAGACCACAAATCAAAGGGTAAAAACACACATGAAATAGAGGGAGGGAGACATACAGTGCATGCAGACGGACACTATCGATGCTTCTCAACCACAAACAGGCTGATGAATCTGTGCACGTCTACTGTTTAATACGGAGCCAGCAGCGCTGCAGAAAATCAAAGCTGTGATCAAAACAAAAACCAGAGGAATTCAAACACTGCGGCTCCCAAACCTGCGCTCCAGTATCTGCTGAGCTTCAGCTGACACAAATACGATCCTGCAGGAAATATTGAATTGTTGATTTTTTGATTGTTTGGCAGAGAAACCGACAAACATGAAACGCTCTGAATGTCTGTTCAGTGTCAGCCGCTTCACTTCTCTTTAAATCGGATACAGGCTGCGTGAGGGTGAGGTCGTCTGAGGAGCACAAACCGATAACAATCTGATGTTTTTTAGGTATTTATATAGGGACTTATCGTCTTAGAACGCAGCTCATCTGTCTGTGTTTGTACTACCACGACAACAGGAATGTCTAAACAGTAGCATAATAAAGATTGTTTTATTTTTTATTTGACCTTCATTAAGCCAGGATGGTCCCATTGAGATTAGGAACCTCTTTTTCATGGGAGACCTGACCAACAGGCAGCAGCAAAAACACAACGTTACAGATGGAAAACACAAAGAGAGACAAAGTACAATTCACAAAACACTACATTTTGCATTAAAATATGAAAACCATCTGTGAGTCAAATCTGGGAGTCAGTAGTTCAAGCACTGGAGCTCAAAGCATCGACTTCCGGCTCCTTAAGTTTGAAGTCATTCTGCAACAGATTCCAGGCTGAGGGTGCAGAACACCCAAAAGCCTGTTTCCCAATTAAACTATGAAGGGTGTCGATGTTGATATTTGTATTTGAAATGCAGTCGATGCAACATGTGATGCCTTTGGATTGTTTCATTGAAAAACTTTACTCGGTGGTGTAGTGCAGGGTGTACCCACTTCTAAATCTCCTCTGATTCACACCTATGATTGACAGACAATATTCAGTAGCATGCTGCATTCTTTTTTTCTAAGACGGTGAAGGATGACCCTCCCTCCGCTGTCTCTAATTGGCTAAATATGCAAGAGTAGTCTTACATGTCACAGTTTGTAACAGAGGCCGTTTATCCTCCACTGGACGGGTACGTATATTCACTTCTTCAGGCACCCACACTACTTTACTCCCAGCCCGTCCTAGTGACAAAAATCTGACCCTTGACCCTTTTCAGCTAATTGAAGGAGAAAATGATGAATCAATTCTCTTCACTAAAGAGTCATTTAAGGTTTGACTCCAACATCAAAATAAATCAGGATAAATAAACTAGTTTCAGACGTGAGGTTTTAACTTCTGTATGTGACATATATTTTTCTGCATGATTATTTGCATTCAAAACTTTCAATTCATGTGATGGAAATATTCAATATCTGCACGGCTGTAGGGCCGGGCCATTCATTCTTTTTCAGTTTCAATCATGATTTTTCTCCTCCTCATTGATCATGAGGACTAGATCATCGAGATGAAGCGATCACTGAGCCGCACGCTGTGTTGATGTTGTTTAGTCCGTAGGTTTCCTCATGTGTGGAAAATGTTTCAAAGTGTTTGTTGTTCTATTTTGGTCAACGAGAGATCATCACCCCTACCTCCAGATCAGAGTGAATTTATTTTGATGTATTGATTATTATTTTTATATAGTGAGGGCATAGTGCAAAACATCTGAGAATAAATTCCTTACATAGAAATGTCACGACAAATGTGTTCATAAAGGGGTCTTATTACACATGTAAAAAGATTTCAATCAGATTTAAGTCGGGGGAACCTGAAACCTTATCAGGGAAAAACTGAAAATATTAACCTCTGAATTAGGTCGCTCATGAGGGCTCAAACTATCAAACTAGGGCTTCTTTAGGATTCTGAATCCATTGCAAACATTTGTTTCACATAAAATCCAATCCTTGGAGGGAATACTTTACATGTACATATAAAAGTAGCTTTATATGTTGATTTCAATATCTCAAATATTTATGTACATATATACAACTGGCTGAAGACATTTCTTGGTAAGGAATTTATTAACAGATTTGACAAATATTTGACAAAATTCCCTCACTAATATATTTCACTTATTTATCTTCATGTTTTTCAAAGTCTTCAGGGTGTTTTAATTTCAGTAACTACATGTGATCCAGATGTTGTAAAATCAATGAGTAATGGTGTTTAATAATCATGAACTCGATATCAATCAAAATAATCTGGATCTTCATTGCTGCTGTAATCGAGCAGCTCTATTGGCTGTAGCAAGAAAAAAAATATGACAAAAAGACCCTCAACACACACACACACACACACACACACACACACACACACACACACACACACACACACACACACACACACACACACACACACACACACACACACAAACATTAATATTGTTGTTATCATAATTATCGTTATTATGAATGTCTCTTTTGTATTGGGTAAAATATTTAAATGTGTTTTTCTCAGATTTAAAAAAAAAAAACATTTTAAAATATATTTATGTTCTTAAAAGATCAAAACTTTTAGGTGGCCACATTTGGTTAGAATGTGTCGGCTTGTAGGTTTACAAAAAAAGTTGAATGAGCTGCGATGAGAAGCAGCGAGTTAGATTTTTTTTTTTAATTCCTCTTATGATGCACACTTCTCTTTTCTGTGAGTAAGAATGAAAAAATACCGTTTTAAAAATGCATACAGGTTGTGGAAATACAAGCATGATTCTACGTTCACAGCTGAGAACCTTCTGTTGAAGTATTTAATGTCTCCAAATTTTTTTTTAACACACATGCACAATTTGTGTTGACTTTGCATGTTTCATAATTAAAACATACAGTTGTGATTCAAGTCACATTAAAGCTGCTGATGTGGACCACATTATTTTTATTGCTAACAACTGATTATAACAGAGAGCAGAACATCAGCATCACTGACTGTGACCTTGATAAAACAGCGTGAAGTAAACACCTCCCTGACAGTGAACGTTACAGCGTGACGTAAACACCTCCCTGACAGTGAACGTTACAGCGTGACGTAAACACCTCCCTGACAGTGAACGTTACAGCGTGACGTAAACACCTCCCTGACAGTGAACGTTACAGCGTGACGTAAACACCCCCCTGACAGTGAACGTTACAGCATCATAAAGAGGAATAACTCACAGCTGGTCAGCTACATGTGTACCTAATAAAAAAAACTGTGTATTAAAGTCTGTGTTAATACCTGCATGAAAACTGCTTCAAAAAATAAACCAATAATAACTTTTTTTTTATTTCATTATGGGTTTTACTCGACCATTTACTCGATTAATTGATCAGTTGTTCGATGCTAAAATATTAATTTCCCCGACACTGGCATCCTAAAATGTTTATATCAGCAAAATGTTTTTCTCCAAACTATAAGAATTATTTTTGTTTCCAGGAGGATAAAACTTAATTCGGAAATATCTCTTCAAAGTTTGATCTAAATGTATAAACTATTTGAATGACATGCGATTGCTGCAGCTTTGTTTTCACCCGTGTGTGCCAGTTTTTCTTTCAAAATAAAGTCCATGTAGTGATAAACAAACAGCTGAAAGATCTGTAAATCTACACATATTTCCTGTTTAATGTATGACGTGTCTCCTGCTTTCCGTAGAGACGCTTAAGGAGGTTATTGATTTTCTAAAGGCATAATCAATCCTACAGGAGAGTCTTGAAGTAAAACACGGTCCATTATTCCCCAGCTCATGTACATTTAAAGCTTGAAGTTTGGTTTCCCTCCAGCTCCACCTGCTCCACTTCTCCTTCTCTGTCTCTGCAGCATAACTCCACAGGCAGAGATGATTGTTCTGTTCAGATTTAACACCGACCTGACGTACAATAACCGGGTCAGACCACCGAGGAAAAAAAAATCAGACAACTTGTTGATAATGTTTCATTTGTATTTTAATGTATAGTATTTGTCCTTTTACGTATGTTTTCTTATTTCCGGCCAAATAAAATGACATAAACATTAGGGGTGTAAGCTCTTTAAAAGCTGCAGCGCTCAGCAGCTCCTATATGTGTTTAATCTGCAGCTGCTGAGCCACATAAAGAATAATGTTACAACGGAGAAATAGCAGAATTACAACATTTAATATCCCTTAACAATGTCAAACATTACAATATATTCAGACACGTCATGTCAGACCTGCGGGAGTCACGTGCCCCCGGGCCTGCGTAACATCACAAACTTAAATTAAATATAAATAGCGCACACAGAACCTTTAATAAAATGTAGATATGTACAACTGTGCAACATGGCAACACTTCTTCATCATCACACCACCACCAGCATGTCGTCGAGTCCACTCTATGTATGTACACACAGACTGAGCTGTTTTTATCAGCTGTCCGAGTCCACGTCGCTTTTACTCTCGTCGGTTTTCTCCGCGGACGTTTTGGTCGCTTTGTTCCATTTCTGAGAGTTTTCAGATTCCTCTGATGAAGAGCGTTTCTGCCTCCTCCACTTCGCGCGTCTGTTTTTGAACCAAACCTACGTGATAGAAAACACAGTGTAAATCTCGAGGCCGAGGCGCTTTTATTCTCTTTCTTTTTTTAATGTATCCAAACAACAACGTGACAGAGTTTGACGCGTCGAATTTATATCAAACTTATTTGGCACACTTCATCTTGCGCTAAATATTTCTGACAGGCTTCTCTGTTTGTGTTCAATATGTGTTAGGCTATCTACAGTTTAATTCCACGCATCTTGTTTTTATTGACTTCATTGATTTTTTTTTTTTTTTTTGCGTAAAAATCGTTTGTTTTTTGTTGGTCCAAACTCAGATGTCCACCAAAGCCTTGCACAGTGCCTTGTCAGCATTTATTAAATAATTTATATAAGTTTCCATTTCTATGTTAAAAAAAAATGTTTTTAAACTCCGAGGATATTAAAAATAAATCGAATGTGAATTAATTTCGTTGTTCGCGTGATATAAGACTGTTAAACTGTTTTAGATTTTTTTTATCATTCACGTCGAGAAATGTTGAAAAGGGAAAAAGATAAAATTCCTAGATGAACAAAGCTCTATGGAATTAATTTAACATCAAATAAAAAATGCATTTTTATTCTGATTGCTATTTTATTCGAGATTAACTCATTCATTGTGTACATATTTAAATAGAGGTAAATTACGTTCATTTTTAAACAATTGAGATGGATTAAATCTCATTTGAAGTGACAAAAATCCTAGAATGCAGTGATTTGCTAATCTGTTTTTTTTCTGTTCCCCCTTATTTTAAAATAAATCAAACTCTGAAGTGTGAGCGAATGTGAAGTTTTAAAAAACTTGGAGTAGAGAGGGGAAAAAAAATAAAGAAGCAATAGGAAGCTGCACTGACCTCGACCTTCTCCTCCCGGAGGTGGACCTTTCGGGCCAGCTGCTCCCGCGTGCCGACGTCCGGGTACTTGGTCTCCTGGAAGAGGCCCTCCAGAGCCTCGAGCTGCTCGTCGGTGAAGATGGTTCGGTGCCTCCGCTTCCTGCGGCAGTGCAGCTGGTTGAGGAGCTGCAGCTCGGTCCGCGACAGGCTGCCCATGTTCATGTAGGACATCATCTGATGCGGGACCGGGGAGAGCAGCACCGAGCCCGGGCTGTCGTAGCCTACGTGGCGGAAGAACGGAGAGACATGACGCACGGATGAGTTGAAACAATCAGACTCTCACAGAGTGTATATACATATAAACACTGTTCATGAGTTATGAGGCTAATGGGAACTCAGGCTCTGGTTGTTTACATGCAGATTACAGCTGGTGCATAAAATGTCACACTCAGGCTAAGTAATGTCGTTTAATACACGTTTAGCTCATGCGTTAAAAATAACAACTTTTTATACCTCTTAGATCATGCATACAAGCGTAATTCTAAAACTTGAAGTGACATTTACCCCCTGAATCGATTCTTTATCTTGAGTAGCAGTATAGCTAATAAGGCTGACTCATATCCGTGCAGCTGGCATCAGATTTTTCTTCATATCTGTGAATATTTACGAGTGCCTTGAATAGATTTCTGTGCGTAAATTTGCCAACTTTTAATTTCATTCCGAAAGCAACAATTTGTTCCATGATACATAAGATTAGAAAGTGTTGACATATTTTCTTGGGAGAGTTTTTTTTTTTCCCAAGGAAAATTATTATCAACAGTAAACCAACACTATCAGCGTTTTAAACATCTGTTATCTTCCCATTTCAAAGTTAGACCGGAAGAAACGAATAAACAGAACTTCAGATGGAACACTTTTCTTGTTAATTTTACTTTAAATGGTGAGCCAAAGCATCTTGCATTTAAAACGTGCAACAGGTTTATAATTCCATGTGGCTTTCTGTGAACAGTATTACAGTTCCATGACTACATGTTAGTATAAAACTCAATAAGCGGTACATTTCGGTCCTACCTGCAGGGATGCAGGGGCACTGCTGCGGGCTGAGACCGGGCACTGAGCCGCAGCACGGCGGACCTCCTCCGGGGCTCTGGACGTGCAGCTGTCCGTAGTAGTAGCCGTTATATCCAATCCGGGTCCCGTTCACAGACTGAATCCCGGGTGGAGACGGCCCGCACGTGGCCGAGTACAGTCCGTTGTAGTCGGTATAGATAGAGTCCGTGAGGCCGGCGGAGAGCACCACCGGGCCGCTCCGGTGCAGCAGCAGCGGCTCCTTGCAGCTCGGCCGGCCGGACAGGATACTGTCGATGCTGAACATCCCCGCGGGCATCACACCGGTGCGCGGCGGCTCGTGTACGCGGAGAGGAAAAGTTGTTAAACTAAAGGTTTCTCGAAATAAAAAAAATGTCCCGGACAGAAAGATCTCCGTGTTCCTCTAAAACTGCGTCATGATCACTCTGGAGGCTTCTTTTCTTTTCTTTCCTGCATGCGCGACTCCGCGAGATGGTCTCTCGTGGATGCGGACTGGGTGTTTTAATGGGACCAGTTGGGGAGCAGGGCTGGTTTTATAGCCTGCTGACGTCACGGCGGAGCTGAGCTGCTCTGGGATCAGCTGCTGCAGCGCGCGCGGCGTGAACGGGCCCAGATCTGTGTATTGAGAATTAATTCAATTAAGATAATCCGCACTGTTTGCAGACTTTAGGAAACTCTGCTGCTGGGGCATTGAGTAATCCGATTATTTCCTTGTCAGCGAAGGCATCACAATGTGCGGGACACATTAACTTCATATCAGAGATTACAATGAGGACAGGACGCGCGCGGCCTTTATCAGCAAAAGTCAGAGTTTAAAAGAAAATAAGGATCAACGAGTTCATTTATTATGAAAACACCATTTCGATTAGTGGACTCCGAGATTTTCTCTTTCAAAATGTCGAGCCTAATGGTGCAATAATTCTTAAAAGTATTTATTTGGAGTCATTAAACGGTTTAATAGTCTTAATCACGGCGCTTCACTAAACGTGAGTCATTTTCAGATTTACGTTTTTAAAGAACCACTCGGATGAATTTGCAAACTACTGAACACATTCAAGGAGTTAATTGACTCCGGTTTCCTCCAAGTTTACAAAAAGGCTACATAAATCAAGAAAAGCCAACTGCTTAATAAGCAAATTAGCAAAACTACTTCATAATAATCTCAGTTTATTTAGAGTTTTTATTCAAAACAAAAATGATGTGGATATCCATACATCTATACACGCTGTACACATTCCGAGGTAATATGCATCTATGTTTGAGTAGATTTAAATAGTTAGATAAGCTGCTTACCTGCACCAAACTCAATGCAAAATATCCTCAATTTAAGCAAATTTAATAGAACAAAACATAGCCTAGGTATGTGTGAAGGCTTTGTGTGTCTACATAATAATAATTTGTATTATTGTTGTATTATAAGAGCATTAGCATAGTAAGTATAATCAGCTGCAGGCAGCCTTCATGATTTCTTTAAAAGTTCATAAATTAAACCCCCCTGACGCTCCATTCACGCGCACATGATGTGAATACATGTCAGGTAAAACTGTAATCAAGGCCTGTATTTGTTTCTCTGTCTCTTTCTTTCTTCAGGACTTAATGGATATTTACCATATTTCCATGTCAGACCGGATCCACTGAGCGTTATATCTGCTCTTCATCTCATTACCCACCCTGCGCTCCTCTCTCCACGGGGAGCAGATTTTCCTCCCCGGCAGCAGCTCCCTCTCTGCGGGGTTACAACGTCCGAACATTTCCCCCCTGACCGTGATAAGATAACGGCCCATTATCGCCTCCATTCAGCCTGGAGAAAGAGAACTTATTGCGTATTTACACCGCTAATCAACATGGCCTGAGTGGGGGTGAAGTGGGGGGCTTCAGGCTGCAGGCTGCTGTGGAGGAACGTGGATTCCCAGTTCAGATCTTAATGGGACGCGCTGATTGCATTTAGAACTCAATGGGCTCTTAACACATACTCATGTCAGGCTGACAGATAAGTTTGTGATGGGGAAATGTGTCGTACACATCAGCGCGATGATTAGCACGGCACGGCACAGAAACAGGGCTCTGTTTGAGGAGTATTGTCTTCACTAATGCGGTAAAACAACCGATTTCAATCACATCAAGAGGACACGTCTGCAGATCCGTTTCTCTGCGGGAAATCATAAATTAGATTTATTTCACAGGCTATTTTAACATTTGCATAACAGCATGTTTATTCCGCATAGGTGTCAATAATTGACACAATGCTGAGCCGAATAAAATCACGATCACAATTTGTTTTTCTCTTAGAGGACGAAATAAAAAATAACTCGAAATTATCTGACATTTTTTTTTGTACAAAATCTGGGAGACGGTTCTAAACATGATGTTTAAAATTTAGAATCCTATAATTAGTCATTTAAATTTTTAAAGTTATTATTTGGAAATAGAAAAAAAAGGGTATTTGTTACTTTCTTGAACATTTTTGGACACTATCAATCAAACTAGTGCGCATGCGCTTACCGTGCACGAAGCCTTTACGCAGTTAGGCTACTTCTTTATTTCTAATTTAAATTATTTATTGATCCACTTTCTTAACATATATACTGTCATATTTTAGTGCAATGTGAAAAAAACGATTTCCTAATTTCTATTCTTTTTTCTTAATTCTCTCAATTTATTTTTATTCCAGACTCGGAGCAATTTGGATCAAATTCCCCCGAGGACAAATTGAAATATAGAGTAGAAGTATAACGTTGTAATTAAAAGTGGAGTAAAAAAAAAATCATATACACACCATCTGAAGATTATACAATAGGCTTCTTGTATAACATATGGAATAAACAGTTCACTACATGATCAGATTGATTCTTTTTTCCGCTGGTTAAAATCCTCAGATTCTGTTCTTGCATATTTTGTATAAACATTTTTCATACTTACCTGCTTTGAGCCCAATCCACTTTGCAAACAAACTTTAGTACGATGAAAAGCCTTTCTGCTTTAAGAGACATTCAATTGTAAAAGGACCAAGAATATATATTTATTTCTCTGTGTTGAATCTGAACCTTCAGAACTACATCTGAAACCTGATCCATGAATTTCTTATGGCTCACTTTCAGAAGGAGAAAGCGTCAATCTCCAAAAAATATACCTTATATATCTTATTTGTCCTTTACAGCAAACACATCATTTTACTGTTGATCTCCATCACTGAGCATACTTTTGTCCACATTGCTACTGTGGAGGAAACACAATACAAGAAACTAAAATAAAGTCAAAATTCTTCAAGATTCATTAAACTTCATGCACATCTTTTTTTCCTGAGTTTTATATTAATGTATATGTAGAAGATTTATCCAATTGTTTTTTATTTGCACTCAAAATGCAACATTTTACCCTAACAAGAAAAATCCTTTCTTATAAAACCTTGTAAAACCAGAATATTTTAAAATGTGTGTGAGGCTCAAACATACTTTCTGAAACCTCAAAGTTATGTAAATGTTTCCTTAAGAGTGTAATCCCACATTTTATTTAGGCATCTTCTTCTTGAGCTCAAAAACTAGACTCAATCATTTAATCTCTTAATCTCTCATGGAAGGAAATTTACCTAAACAAAAAGGAGTTTCCCTTCAGGTTTATTAAAAATACTGTAAACTCAGGTCAGACTTATTCTATACACGTTTCTGCTAACATGAAAAGCAAAACCGGATTTTTAGGTTTAAAATTAGATTTAAATTTTATTCCCTGTCTACATCCAGCTCAAATAATTTACAGGTGGATATATTTTCAATGTGACACATCCTTTTAGTGTGTATAATAGCACAGGACAATGAGTTTTTCTGCTCTGCTGCCTGATAGAAGCTTTGCTTTTTGGTGCCTTTTGATATGGAAACATGCCGTTGTTGTCACTGAAAAGCTTTTTCTGTAATACAGTCACTCTGTGATTCCAGCCAAGTGCAGAGAGAGAGACAGGAAAACATTAAGGGCCATGCTGTTATTATTTTCACATTTATTTCTATATTTCTACTTCACGGCGGCAGTGAAAAGGAGCGAGTGAAAGGGATTGCTTTAAAGCGAAACATCCATTTGAAAATAAAAGCTGAGGAGCAGCGCAGTGAAGGCAGCACTTATAGGTGAATAGAAGCGTCAATCAGGCTGCAGATGGAGGCTGAAGACTCACCCCTCCACAAAAGAAGATGCATCTTTATATATCAGAGCCCTGATCTGTAAAACCTGGTTAAACACAGCAAATAAAACACGGATGCCTGGTAATGCATCCGTCCAACAGAGGATAAATACAGTGTGAGGGCTGGACGGGCTTTTACATCAGACTGCAGGGGAACAGAACATCTGCAGCATTTACATAATCACACCGTCAGAAAAATACTGAAAGGGATAGATTGATGGATAGATGGAAATACAATATATATTTTAGTTACGTACACAAAGTGAATTAACCATTACAGTCATGACCTTTTTTTAACCCTTCATAGGGAGCATATTTTGGCTCATGCTTGTCTAAGAGAACTTTTGTAGAGAACTCCCTCCAATTAGCTTCTTAATGCTGCTTATCAGATGTGTAAACATGGAGTTTACCATTCCTATTTCATATGGTTTGAAAGCTAACACAAATAAAAATGCTCCATATAAACACCTTCACCAGAATAAACAGACACAAACAGATAGTACTAGTGTGAAGAATAAATAGCGGCTGCATTCTCTCTGTGCATGTTGATGTAAATGGTTTGAAAACCAGAGTAACGCTGCATATTGCCTTGTTGAAAATGTATGATGTTGGGACAAAGGTGGTCTAGCGGTTTGGTTGAGCCTCTGTAAGGAGGCTATAGTCCTCAAAGCGCCCAACCCAGGTTCAAGTTCGACCTGTGGCTCCTTCCCAGCCTGTCATTCCCCACTCTCTCTCTCCCGGATTTCCTGCTCTATCTATTGTTGTCTGAAATAAAGGCATTAAAAAACCTCCCAAATTGTTTCAGTAAAAAGTATGATGTTGCTTAATAAGAGCACAAAAAGCAACTTCTCCACTGAACATAGGGTCAATATCCAATTTAAGGGAGTTGACCAAACGTGGCAAAAAGTTATTGTGATGTTGAAAGGTCGTCCATGAGGGATATATATATGCATGATATGCTCATCACCTCTGGACAAAGCTGCAGATTAAGTCTGTGCATGTAAACACTGGACCATGATGAATCACAACATGTAAACAATTAACCCTCATTCTCCAATCAGAAGGATTTAAATCAGAATAGCAAGTATTAGTGTCACCTTGGCCTCTGTCAGAAAACCCTTCCCCAACATCTTTTTCACAGATGAATTCAGATTTTTGTTACTTTTAAAAACTTTTCAGGCAGTGATTGGTCAGGTGTGTTGAATAAACTTGAACTTATCCCCATCTGTATACTTTGCATACATTCACACATACTTCACATCACACCTTAACCTTCTTTATGACTGCAAGCTTCTTCTTTTTTTCCCACATTTCT